AGAGTTTCTGGGCTCAGGGCTTCTGGATTTCAGGTTCAATAGGAGATGCAACAAGAGATGCCTTCCCGCTTGCACTCTGCATAAACGAGGCAGCTTCTGAAATCAAGCCAGGCTGAGTCTCAGGTTTGTGGTCGTCTGATGTCGCCTTTACCTGGGTTTGCAAGTTGCGATGGAGCATCCGAAGTGGCAACCCCTGGAATACATCATTTTTTCCTTACTGGGACCCGTAGACCACGGTAACAAGCAATGTATTCGGGGGGTGGGGGGAACCTTCCTACGGCAGATGTGAGTTGTGAGTTTTGGTTGGTTACGAAGTTGCGTGTGGTGCATTCCTTCGGTTGTGCTGCGCTGCTCGTCGGCGACTAAGTGAGTACACGATGCAGAGTAACGTAGTAGCGCAGAGACGTGGCAGTGGCCGCCGGATAAGTAAACGTGGAAGTGTCTTGCCGTGATTCCACACATGATTCCCAGACATGCGCTTCGACATGAGCCAGCAATGTCGGTCGGCCGCTGTGCACTGAAGGTAGCCGTAGCACATGTATTTGCCATAAACAGGTCTGCATTGTCGAGCCGGGTTGTAGCACGTGTTGTCAGGCAACTTCCGAAACAAGCCCTGAACGCCTCTGAGCCATCAGCAGCCGGAGACGGTTGCGGTAGCAATCCTCGGCCATCATAGCAAACAGAGCCTTTTCGACGGGCGTCAACACCACGAACGATATGTTGGGCCTCTTCTTGCCGGAACTCATCCATCAAATGTGTCAGTATGTCCGGTTGCGAAGTGCTTCAGTGCATAGGTACGCCCGGCGTGTCTATGTTGACACTGCCAAGAGGGTTGTGGCCTTACTGTTGCAGGCAGATTCGCTCAGCAGCAGAGCCGGCAGAGAGATAACGTGACTTTCCTCATATTGCTGGACTTGAGTTCAGGCTCTTGTCATCCAGGGTGCAAACGGTCCGAAGTTCTTTCCGTCCAGCGCTGACACACTGACGTGGCAGCAGCCGTGCTCAAACGGGTTGTGGTGGGTTGTGCGGCTTCTCTCAGGTTTGCTTCAATGAAGGAGGTGGACCTGGAAACCCGCACAACGAAGGCCTGCTGGCGCTTCACAAGCAGGTTCAGTGGCTCAAAACTCTTATCAGCCTGAGGAAGGCCGTGTCGAAACCCTGGTAATCTGTGCTATCGAGAAGGATGGCAGGATCGTTAAGGACGGCCTGCGCAGCATCCTCACAACCTGCTTGGCACGAGTTGCACATGCCGAAGGAGCTAACGCTCGCTTTCCCAGACCAGTCCAAGGCGGCCCTTCTTGAGTCGACTCTGATTTGGATGATGCGCACTTTCAGATGCGAGGCCAGCACATTTGTAAACTGCGCCCGGGTCTAAGACTGCCACGCGCAGGGACTATTCTCCAAGACTGCACCACTGGCTTGTGAAACCGAGGTCACACTGTTCTCTCTAGCTTTGCGAAGGAAGCAAGATTGACATGCGTGGTCTGTGAATAGTGGAAATGTATTTTCCTACGTCCAGTGAGTGCACGGTCCAAGACCGCACCGCGGATGCGTCCTTCCAGGACAGCTAACGAATGCCACTTCTTGCATCGTCATGCATGAAGTGCTGCGAATTCGGCACACGAAAAGACAGTGCCATGCAGGGTCCTCGCCCTTGCGAAGTGATGCCCGTGATGCCAACACGTCCTAGAACGTGTAGCACGGCATGGCACGTTCTTCGACTGCATCGTCGCTGAGCAGCCACTCACACCTCAACCACAAACGTGGGAAAGGCCTCGACCATGTGCGTTAGTCGCTACTGCTAGAGCAGCCACAGTTTGATGTCAGACCACTAACCTTCCACCTGTGGGATGCCGGGCCTTCATGCAGTCGCCGGCCAAGTGCGCTAGAAGGCGTCTGGTTTCAGGCTTCGAGGCCCACGCAACTAAGGTCTAGCCTGTACAAGGAGAACAATTTCGAACTGGGCCATAGCGAGGCCAAAGACGACCTCTCAAGGTTTTGAGAAGGCCTCTCTTATCCTGCCAGGTCTGGGGATCATGGTACGACGCTTCTGCAGAAAGATGGGGCTACGCGTGCACTTGCCATGTTTCGGCTTGTCATGGTTTGCAAAGACACCGGTAGTGAATGGTAGTGATGTAGAGACTGACGGCACTCAACTGACCAGAAGGTGCTGTCGAGCATTGCAACGCCGGCATCCGAGTCAATGGCATGACTCCGCAATATCAACCTGTGAATGAAGCAAGGTGCACCAGGTGAATAGTCAACTTTAGGTAGACTCAACGTGCGTTGGTTTGCTGCATCTCAGTTTGACACTCGAACACGCGAAGGCTCGAAGCGATGTGCTGCGAATGCATCACCGGCGCAGGATCTCGAGGCCAAGTTGGCGAAGTCACAGAACATTTGTTTGCGCCGTACCTGCCAACCAGCAGGACGGCGGCGATCTCGAAGCCGGCGCTCCCACTTGCCTGGACGATCTTCAGAGCGGCCTCCCAGTGAGAGCGGCAGAGCTCAAAACAATTCGAGCAGTTCGCAGAGGCCGACCTCTTCGCACTGCGATGGGCCAGAAGCTCAGATGCCCTGTCAACGCTGTTTTGTTGGTGGGTGCCTGACAGTTACAAGCAGTGCTGCGAGAGTATCGTCGCCAACATCAGCTGGACGCGGTCGGCTGCTGGCATGTCTCTTGCTGCTCTTCTGTGGTGAACGTCCGGGGACACACCTAGTGTATATACTCTTTGGATGCTAGTGAAGTTGCTGGGGGTCTTTACTTTGTCTGACCACTTGTAACCACACACACTTTGACATGTTGTGAATGGCCCTCGGTTTTAGCTGAAGCTATTCATGGGTTAGTGGGTTCCAGTCTTTCATATCCTCCATCCCTTCCTATTCTTTCATCAACTCGACACATTGTTACACTGAAGCTTTGCCGCCTTGTGGCGGGTCTTTGTCGCTTTCATGCTACCTTTTTCTTGCCGGGCTTCCGACGGAAGCTTAAGGGAACCCGCGCGTACAGCCACTTGATTGAACTACTTCCACAAGCGTTGTCGTCACCGTCAGTTTACTTCGAGGTTTTTGCCTTGTCTTCTCACCATCACAAATGCATCGCGCTGCAGGGGTCCGTCAACTTGGTGTCTCAAGTTGATTTCACAATGAAGCAGAAGGGTCTTCGTTGGCCAACCTTCGGCAATCCCCTGAACCGAGTTACATGGCCGTGGCAAGAAGGGCGAAGCCACCATGCAAGTGAAGTGGCAAGGGGGCTAAACCACGAGTCGCAATTAGAATCAGACGTCGCAGGGGGCTAAGCCAAGAAGTCCAACTGGAGTATTTCGTTGTGGCAAGTGAAATTACACATAACAAACTGAAGAAACCGCAACTAAAATCAATCGTATTGCAAGCGAAACGGAAAGGGGCAAAGCCAAGGACCCTCCGGATGCAAACTGCACTTGGAGGAAACGACGGCCGAACCGCGTGCGATGCCAACGGCAAGTTCTTATGAAATCATTGAGACAGTTATTTGTTTTTGCTGTTGGGTGTGTTCATCGCATCTTGACTGCTGCATCCCGATGCAGTAGCATAGTCGGCATCGGCATCGGCATGGAGTTAGCATTTTGGCAGCTGTCCATGAGGTTTAACTTTTAACGGAGGAACTGTTCTACGTAGCATGGAGAGGCAAAACTTGCCCTTGCCAGCGAAGCCGTCGGACTTCGCGTGCTGCGGACGCACCTCTGCAAGGGGCTAAGCCAGCAACCCCGACTGGAGTACATCGTCGTTGCAAGTTAAACAGCAACAGGCTGCACTAGACCAACAACACAAACAAGGGAACATCACTGTTGCAAATTCAAAGGCAAAGCCGCTACAAGTAAGACAAGAGCCCCCCTGTTAGAGCCACACCTCTTTGCAAGTGACGGGTCCAAGGGTCGAAGCCAAGAAGCCCAACTGGGAGTACATCGCTGTTTCGAACGAGCGGCAAGGGCGGGAACCACGATAAGTGTCAGTCGGCAACGGGCAACGGGACTAAGCCAAGGACCCAAAACCAAAAAAACAATAGCAGTCACTTGGCATGGTTCACCTTTGAATTTAGCGTTGGCATCGCACTGTAGCCGGGGCTGCTGACGTACCACCTTGCAGCGTGGGGTTTTGCTAGCAGGGAGTTTTCGTGCGAGGCCGACTTTGCTGATCAGGACAAGGGCGTTCGGGGGGTGGTGTCATTTTGGGGTCATGTCCACCTGCACTTGAACCTGGGGGGGGGGGTCACGGCGTGTTAAGATTTCAGGCGTACAGGATCACTTCTGATGCTCATGACAGGGGTCGGTTGCTGACTCTTGAATTGTAGAAGGCAAAAGCCAACCTGTCTATCAGACAAAAATCGTTTTGCTTGCGATTTTCGTTAGCTTCACCACTCGGCCTGCACTTCGGGGAGCATGCTTACTACGTGTGATGCTTACTACGTGTGTTTTGTTTGGTCTTTTTTGGGACTTCCGGCTGCTGCTAGTAATCGTAGTATTGCTTGCATCGAAATGGGGGAATGGACAGCCCTAGACGGCGTGGGCCACTTGTGAACCCCAAAAGTGGTGAACCTTATGCATGTCAACGAAAGATAGCATTAATGGCCAACCCTAAGCGCAGGAGGGACTGAAAGGAGGGTGGGCCATCCTTGACCAACAGCCCGACATTGATTGACAGCAAGAAATGGCGGAGGTTTGGTCCGTGGGCCGACTTGCAAGGAACGGGCAAACACAAGTCACAAGTTTGTAATTTCCGGGCAGGGAAAATCATAACGTGGTGACTTTTTTGCACCCTGTTGTGAGGAGGAGGAAGATTTACGCTACAGCTGAAATAGAATCATTTCGCAAGCGAGCGACGTCTCCAAAGCGTAAACAAGTCACAAGCAAGACAAGACGGTGCTTACAGGGCGTCGCTCTGTCTGTACGTTGCAACTTTCACTGAGCTTTCGCGCCTTTTTTGGGCCAAAGGCCAGAAGCACACGAACAGCATCGAATGGTAGCCAGGCTTGCGCTTCACGCTTCGGACGTTCACAACCGGAAGAGGCCTGTCACCTGGCAGCGCTCTCGCCAGTTTGTCAGCATGCACGATGTGAGGTGGAGCGGTCCCTGGCAACCCTGCTGCAGACTCTGCAGGCGACTCTGGACAAGTCTACAAGCCCGTACTTTCTAGCCGTCTAGCCATGTCTAGCCATGCAGTGCGCCGGGCAAGGCAAGCTGTCAGAGTTTCTGGAAGGGGGAGGAAGTCCATGCTCGGAGCTTGAGATGCTCTTCTGAGTAGAAGCTCGCAGATGTGTGCGTGGTATGGTGCAAGGTCTGGAGCGTTGGCCACAACAAGTGGTTCAAAACCGGGCGGGTCGTGCGCTCAGCAACGCATTCCGCACATCACACCGTGACAGTCCTTGCGCAAAAAGCTTAGACCATTCCGGAATGCCCGAAGGTTGTCGCCGTGAGGCAGACAGAAGAAGGAGGTCCAAAGCTAGCATGACTCGATGCATAGCTTAGTTTCTGTCACAACACCGAGGGCGAGCTGTCGGCTCGGTGCTTGTTACGTTTGTGGAGACCGCCGACAGCAAACCTTCCAGGTGCCCCGGACAGAGTTAAGCCGCTGGCGTCTCCGCAATTCTGCCGATAAGGAAGTGGGTGTCTCCGGCCAACATACCGTCTGTCCTGCGGAAGGCAGCAGAGGCACGGATCTGGTTCTAGGCTTGATCGTCAGCATATCTGCTGGCACTGCTGGTAGGTGAAAATTTCGCGAGATGATCTGGACAAGATCGTGCGCAGATTCCTTGGAGTTACTGTTGCCTTGGTAGAAGCCGGTCGAGGGCAGCGGTACTTCAGCAAGGAATAGCTGAACTTTGTGCAGAACGAGAATATCATGCCGCTAGCCAGGCTTCTCGAGCAAGTGTTGTCCACTGAGACGAGAGGGCACGCTGTGCTCGAACCATGCGCAGGTGTACCTAGAGCTGACTGTGGGTCATGGACGATGGCATGGAGATCTGTCCGTCCCAAGCAGCCTGTTACGATTCCTGGTTCGTGCCTTTCGCATGTGCAAATGCCCTGTTAACCAGCGCTGCTTTCGGCTCACGGGGCCACAGCATGCCAACTTGCGCCAGAATCGTAAGACCGCCACGATGCCAAGCGACACAGTGACGGATCTTGCATGTGCGATGTCGTTAAAATTCGTTAAGATTCCCAGCTAGTCAGCACAGATAGCAGAACTGGACTGGACTTCACCTACAACATGGATCCTACCCTAGCTGCGTGCTTCGCTCGCCAGAAGGATGCTCGATCACCCCGTAGTGACGCGGTAGTGACAAGCAACAAGCCACGATCGAAGCTCTGTCTGCTGCGTTCAAGGAGAAGCATGAGAAAGGCGAGGAGGTGGCAGAGATTGGATCCCAGGCGAATCAAAGAACACAGCTAGATCCTGTTCTTGCGCAAAGATGGGTGCGCCTGGCAGTTTAATGAGCTGACATAGGCAGGTCCGAAGGGATTGCTGCTAGATGGGAAACTCGTGCCAGGAGAAGCTGCAGAAAACTGAGTTTCCGGTGGAAGATGACATCGGTTCCAAAGCCGATGCATGTTCGACATAGTTGATCTGATTGAGGTAACATTGCACGCTTCAGCATTCATTCCAAGGAGAAGATCGTCAAACTAGACCCTGTGCTTGCCAAGCGCTGGTCGCAGCAGCAGGCACACCGCGAACTGCCGCTTTCTGCTAGAAAGTTGCGATCCCTGAGGAACTGGTCGACTCGGGTCTCTATGAAGCTGAGATTGGTTCTGTAGCAGAGAAGTCGACGTGACGGGACAGCATGTGAGAAGTTTGTGTGCACAGTGCACGGAGACTTCTGGCATCCGCTTGCGACCACCCAGGAAGCTGGATCCGACGCTTGCCAAGCACTGGGCAGCAGCTCACGAAAGGGCCTTGGCAGGCACCTGGGCAGAACATCGGATCGGAGCACCGGAGCATCGGTGGGGAGAGGTGTGAACTGAGGCAAAGGGATTCCGGACCCAGAAGAAGCAGGTCCCAAAGCTGACTTTTCCAGGAGCAGTTTCACGCACACCATCGTAATTCCAAATGTGCTACAGGTTGGGGTCCGGGGCATGCATACTGCCTCGACCACTGCAGGAAAGACACCGAGCTTGCAAAGCGCTTTGCAAAGCTGCAGCGACAAGCTCAAAGAAATGAAGGCCTGAGAGATTGGAAAACAGTCCAAAGATCCATAGATCCCTTAAGCGTTGTTCAAGCAGGTGGCGAGGCAGAGAGATGCCAGCTACAATTCTCCGCCATCTTGGCTGCAGTTCGGCGGCAGGTGCGGTGAGTACGAAATGCGGAGTTTCGAAGCGAGGCTGGAGAGAGCAAGGAGCACGAAGTCTGCACTGAAGGGGCCGCCATTGGCCGCCTCCAGTGGAGCGCCGTGCCTTGTCTATGCTGCCTAAGCGACTGCGAATGAATCTTTCAGGGCGAAGAGCAGACGCTTTGCCCTTGAGGTGGTCCTGGCAGACTTCACAATAGATCTCGAAGTCTGTGCTGTGGTTCGAATACCGCCGGAGATGGAGAGCACAGAGACCATCGTGTTGCAAAGGCCGACCCAGTCAATCGAAGTGTGATAGCCAACTATGGCACATCCAGGAATGCTCGTGGAGGAACTTTTGTTGGCACGCTGGACTCGAGAACCGACAGGTGCTTGTTCTGCATATGCATTGCATGTGTGTGTGTGTGCCTGTGTGTGTGTGTGTCTGTGTGTGTGTGTGTCTGTGTGTGTGTGTGTTGGTTTCCCGGCCCATGTTGACGGCGTCTGGCATCTCCATTCAAGCTGTCGATCTGTGCCTCACAATCTCTC